ATCATATTGGTTTCTTTGAATAAATCAAAAGTTAATTGAGTTATAGCTTTATCATCATATAAATCTTCTGATCTTAGGGATTCTAAAATTGGGTAGATCAAGTGTCTATCTAAGAATGGAATGACCTTCTTGGTCAAGTCATATTTGCGAGCAATCTCTAGCTCAGCAGCACCAAGTTCACTCATGTTGAATTTGTATTATAAAGAGCTTTCCAAATGTTCAATCTATACACCAAATTTTAAATCGACGTTAAATTTTTTTCCAAAAACTGAGCAAAACTTTTCGGTCTAGGCCACGACTGGAACCCGGACACCAAATGGGTTCGCGAATTGAATTTACATAACATTTGAATTGAACATTTACGCGTCTTTTGATCCAATTTTGTAAGTTGCAAAGTGTTGATAATGGGTGTTTTGGAGGACTCTAACGAGATCTTGAAGACTGCTGTTCTGAAAGAGAACAAGCCAGTATGTGTACTTTTTTTTTCAGTGGAAATTACTTTGATTCTAACCAATTTCTAGTACACTTACAAATTATTGAGTAGACATTTGGATATTCATGTCAATGATGCAAAGAAATTGCTGTACACTTTCTACAAAAACCATAAAGATCTAGTGGAAGCTACCTTTTTGATTTCAGGGACATTCGGTGGTGAAAATGACTTAAAGATCAAAGTAACCAAGGATTTGAAAGATAGAGAGAAGTTTGATCAAGTTCAATCCATACAAGTTTATTCATTAAGTCCACAAAATATTAAGATTGATGAGATAGTCTCAACAGTAAATGCTCAACTCCAAGAATTTAGTGTTGATGAGTCTAAATTGGCCAAATGGGGGTTGATTAAAGGTCCAGAATTAGTCAAAATTGTATCACAAACAACTAAAGAACCATCAAGATCAAATACTAGTATCTCAACCACCAAGAAGCCTGAAGCTAAAGCACCACCATCTGCTCCATCGAAAAAAAAAGAGTTCCCTGATATGGGCTTGAGGTCAGCTCAAATTTTGAGCAGAAATAGAACAAAGGAAAAGGAGGAACCAAAAGCTAGAACAAACACACAGCCAACCTTTGCATCCTCCAGCAAACAGACCAAAACAAAACAACAACCAAGATCAAAGACAGAACCTGCAAAGAAAGTTCAACAAGAAGATTTGACTGAAGATGAACCATTAAAGAAACAGAAGGAATTAAATGCTGAGAAAGATAAAAAGCAAAAGGAGTTGGAGAGTATGTTTGATGACGATGAAGATGTTGTGATCCAAGAAGCTGATGAAGCAGAAAAAGAAGCAACAGAGATAGCTACAACAGCACCAAAGAAGAATGAAGATCTAGAAGGTCTATTTGATAGCAGTTTCAGTCAATCTCAAAGTCAACCAAATAAAAATGAAGTGGAGGAGGAATCAGAAGAAGTGCAACCAGAAGAACCAGAAGTTGTGGAAGAAGAAGAACCTCAAGAAGACAAAAAAGATGAAGCAGAGGTCACAAGTTATTATGACGAGGATGGTTATTTGGTGACTAAAGTTGCAGAGAAACCAAAGACAAAGCCAAAACCAAAACCGAAAGCAAGGGAGGCTCCTGCATCTTCTTCAGCACCAGTCACCAAAAAGGCTAAACCAGTTGCCAAAGGTGGTGCTAAGCAACAAAGTTCATTGATGAGCTTCTTTGGTAAAAAGTGAATATAATAAATGTTATTCTGAAAACTCACAGTAGCTCATTTACCAAATTTTTCCTTTGTATCTTTTTGCTTCTTTTTCGACGAGTGACCTTTATCATTCTTCTTTTTCTCTATTCTCTCAACAGGCTTCGAAGGCTTCTTTGAGTCTTTTTCATCTAAACCACGTACTTTATCATTATGTTTTTGGGTATTGTTCAACAATCTGTTTAAAAACGCTGTATTGGGCTTCTGAGAACGCTCTTTGACTGGATCTTCGCCCTCGAGCTCCTTGATCATTTTCTGGATCAATTTCTCATCGCTCTTACTATCAACAACAAACTTATCCATACTAAAATACTTTATTGTCTCCAACCTGAAGAATGGCTATTTAATTTCACAGGTACAAATGTTTTCTGGTGTCTGGGTTCATCAACACCAGGGCACGCAACCTTCAACAGAACAAGTTGGCATAAAAACGCCAACAACGAATCCAAAATCTCAAGAAATACTGTAGTGACAAAAACTCCCCATACATTGGATCAATTGGCAATTGGCTTAGCTTTGGTTGAAGATGAAGTTATTCCAATTCTTCATTTTGCTCACGATTTATCTACAAGGTGCCTTTGCTGTCAAGGACTACCTCTTCAAAAAATGTGCACAATCTGGGTTTTGCAATAGAAACAGACATTTTGCTGGCGAAGTCTCTAAAAACCCTGATTATGTTTCAAAATACTCAATTGATGAATCAACACTGAACTATATTGAATCCAATTCCACTATCCTTGGTGATATCTACAAAAAAGTCAACGATGCTAAATCTGTTAGATTACCATTCCAGATCAACATTTTGAAAAATAACAACATTAGATTAAGAGTTGATGAAGATCGTTCCCAAATTGAATGGAATAATAAGTTTTTGAACAAGGAAAGATTCGCTGATGCTTGGAAGTATGCCTTCAGAGGTGAACCTGTTGTTTCTCAAAACTATAAATTCAATGACTTACAAAATGGTAAAATTTCAGTGATTTATGGTGATAAAGATCAATACGAATTGGAGATCTTTACCCAAGACTTCAAAGTTGTTGTTAAATATAATGGTGAAACTCAATTGGTACTAAATGATAGATCATTTTTAAACATCGAACATTTCAGAAAAGAAGATGAGAATGAAGCAAACTTAACACCAGAAGAATCAAGCTTTAATAGTTTCCATGACGATTTCCAAGATTCAAAAGATGATTCAGTTCCATTTGGACCAGAATCTGTTGCACTAGATGTTACTTTCAAAGGTTTTAAACATGTTTATGGTATTCCAGAACACGCTGATAGCTTATCCTTAAAAGACACTTCCGAATCGGAACCATATCGTTTATACAATGTTGATATCTTTGAATATGAAACTGATAGCAGACTTCCAATGTATGGTGTTATCCCATTCATGGTTGCTCATAAAGTTGGTGTCTCTGCAGGTATCTTTTGGGTTAACGGTGCGGATACTTATGTGGATGTTAAAAAAGATCAAGAATCTCAAGATGAACAAGTTTTAAGCTCAAAAACTGATTCAAAGACTCATTGGATCTCAGAAAATGGGATTTTAGATGTTGTAATCATAATTGGCGAAACTCCAACCGAGGTTACACAGTCTTATGCTTCATTATCTGGTAATGTTCAACTTCCACAGTTGTTCTCATTAGGGTACCATCAATGTAGATGGAACTATAATGACGAAGAAGATGTTTTGACAATCACAGAAAACATGGATAAGTTTGAAATTCCATATGATGTTATTTGGTTAGATGTTGAGTATACTGATGCTAAGAAATATTTCACCTGGAAAAAAGAGTTATTCCCAGATCCTGAACGTATGCTCAATAAATTGGATGAAACTGGAAGAACACTAGTTGCCATTATTGATCCTCATTTGAAAACAGGTTATGAAGTTAGTAAAGACGTTGAATCTAAAGATCTTGCATTATTAAACAAAGATGGTGATATTTTCAAAGGTCATTGTTGGCCAGGTGAATCTGTTTGGATTGATACATTTAATCCAAAATCATATGATTATTGGACTTATTTATTCAGAAATAGTACTGGATTAGCTGGTGATGCTACAAATTTCCACATCTGGAATGATATGAATGAACCTTCAATTTTCTCTGGTCCTGAAACTTCATCTCCAAAGGATCTTGTCAATTATGGTGGTCTAGAAATCAGATCGGACCATAACATTTATGGTTTAACTTTCCACGAGGCAACTTATCAAGCTTTAATTGATAGATATGTCAATAAGAGACCTTTCATTCTAACAAGAGCTTACTATTCTGGATCCCAAAGATCAGCTGCTATGTGGACTGGTGATAATATGTCTAAATGGGAGTATTTGAAGATTTCCTTACCAATGATTTTAACTTCAAATATAGCTGGTATGCCATTCGCGGGTGCTGATGTTGGTGGGTTCTTTGGTAATCCTTCCAAGGAATTATTAACAAGGTGGTATCAAGCTGCTGTGTTTTATCCATTCTTTAGAGCCCATGCTCATATCTATTCAAGAAGAAGAGAACCATGGATTGCCGGTGAACCTTATACTTCTTATATGAGAGACGCCGTTAAAATCCGTTATTCAATTTTACCATTGATTTATACTAAATTCTATGAATCTTCAAAAACCGGTGCACCAGTTATCAATCCATTATTTTATGAAACTCCTTCAAACCCAAAGACTTTTGAGATTGAAGATGAATTTTTCCTAGGTGGATTATTAGTTAAACCAGTCACTGATGAAGGTGCAGAATCTGTTGAAATTTACTTATCAGATGAGGAAATTTATTATGATTATGAGACTTTTGAAAGTTTACAAGGTGAAGGTGATCATAAAGTTGATGCTCCATTAGGAAAAATACCAATTTTTATCAAAGGTGGTTCAATTACCCCAAGAAAGGATAGATATCGTAGATCATCCAAATTGATGAAATATGACCCTTACACATTAGTCATTGCTCTTGATACAAACAAATCTGCAAAAGGTAGCTTATACATTGATGATGGGGAAACCTTCAATTATGAAAATGGTGAATTTTTATATATTGATTTCAGTTTACAAGATGGTGAATTGCAAGCTGCTGTTAAAGATGGTTCATTATCTGTTCCAAATTCTATTGAGAAAATCTTGATTGTTGGCTTGGAAAGTGCTCCAGCTTCTGTTCAAGTGTCTCAAGGCTCTGAATGGAATGCTGATGTTATTCAAAAGACAAACTATGCAATTATCAAAACCCCAGGTGTTGATTTGAGTAAAGACTGGTCCATCAAGTTTTAGATGAAAAAAAAATAGTTCTTTGCGTGTTTCATTCTATACAACATCCTGTGTAGCTTCAATCTCATTGAAATCATCCTCCTCTTCTTCGACAGTTGGTTCTTTACCGTCATATCCGATATTTAACCTTGCCATGGTGGAGTATCTAACCAAGGTTGTCCAAATTAAAACTTTTTCACACGATGGACATGAACCCTTTTTAGGTATGATTGAACCTTCAGGTATTTGTGTAATTTGTGTGATTTTTGTTCTTTGGGAAAGTTTCTTCATAGCAGCTCTATCAGCATCAACATTTTGTACTTCTTTTTCATTGGTTCTGAAATGAGTGGAGAGACATGAAAGGTGTGAAATGTGGTCACATGAATCATGGTAACATAATGAAACCAGTGGGTATTCTGAGTTTGTCTTTGTATAATCAATAACATCCTTACAGAAATGACATATATGTTCACCGTATCGAAGAACTTCTTGAAATCTTGACAAGATCTTTGTATCATGTTCGATACATTTCTTTTTGAAATCCATCACGTTTTGCATATTGATAATTTCATTTGTCTCTAGAGTATTTGTATAGTCTATACGAATGAGTTGGTTTAGCAGATTTATACCAAATTTATTCGTACACCAAACTTTATAAGTTTCAGAGTTGAATATTTGAACTTTCAAGTTCATTTTGTTGAAAAATGGTGAGTTTAATAACAATCTAACATTTCCTAATTTGTGATGTATAGACCGACCAGCAGTCTTGGAAGTTGTGATTCTTTGCACTTTTTCAATATGACGTGTTTGATAAGAGTGTTGCCATGCATGCTCGAACTATATGGTTAGATGCTTTCCCTTTAGTTAAATTGTTTCTTAACTCACTTGTAAAGCTGCAATTTTGTTTGGGAAACCATGAACTATCATAATCATTTCCCAGGGCCTGAACCCCTTTCTCTTTGTTTTGTACGCTCCTGCTTTCAGTTCACCATTATGTTGCCGTAGTCTCTTGAATGGGGTCAGTAATCCTGCCTTTGTTCTGACTATGAATGAGTACATACTCTTACTGGATCAGGTGTTGATCCTATGTAAAATGAGTTTGGTTTGGGTATTGATCGCAGCAAATAACAACCATAAAACTTGGGCACTGCGTGTGCTACCTTCTTCTTAGTCGACTGTGACCCTATTTGTGACATTTGTAGTAAATATCAACTATTTAACCTAGTTTGTTTACAAAATTTTCAGTGTTTTGATTTGCATATTTTTTTGTTGACACGATATTTTGTGACAGATACATAAATGATTTGACTAGTCAATATTTTTAAATTCAACTATACAATTTACTCCTCATTGACAAATAGTCCAGCATATCCTTGACCAGTACTGGTACACATGGAAACTACACCTAACTGCTTACCTTGAGTTTTCAACCCATTGATCAATGTGCTGATGACTCTTCCACCAGTAGCACCTAATGGATGTCCAAGAGCAATAGCACCACCATAAGGATTTACTTTAGCTTCATCAAGCCCCAGTTCTCTAATGCAGTATAATGATTGTGATGCAAATGCTTCATTCAGCTCGAAAATGTCAATATCGTCTTTTGTCAAATCAAATCTATTCAATAATTTTGGGATAGCTGCAGCAGGACCCATCCCCATTAAATGAGATTCAACCCCAGCAACAGAGCTCCCAATGAATTTGGCAATAGGTTTCAAGCCGTTCTTTTCAGCATTCTCTCTAGTAGTTAAGATCACAGCACTTGCACCATCACTGATCTGTGAAGCATTACCTGCTGTTGTAGTTCCTGTTTCAGAGAATGCAGGTTTCAATGTTGATAATTTATCAAGAGTCACATTCCCTCTTACACCATCGTCTTTTGAAATGGTTTTATATTCTTCAGGTTCGCCTTCTTCAGAGACCCTAGCTTCTACTGGAATGATTTCTTTTAGGAAATGACCAGACTCAGTAGCTTTAAATGCTTTCTGTTGAGACTTCAATGCGAATTCATCTTGATCTTTCCTTGAGATGTTGTATTTGGATGCGACATTTTCAGAAGTTATACCCATTGGCATCAAGACATTTTGAGCTTCAGAAGATGCTTGTTTCTTGAATGGCTCATAAATTCTAGTTGGGATTCCTCTATGTGGGAAATAATCATGTGTCATTGATTCCACACCAGCAGCAATACCAAAATCGATATCACCAGAGCGGATCGAGGCAGCCAAATAACTAAAAGCTTGAGCAGAAGATGCACACTGTCTATTCACCGTGTTTATAGTGGTCTTTACTGGGAAGCCAGCGGCTTTAGCAGCCAAAGCACTTGCTTTCTGACCACCGAGTGTTTGCAACACAGCACCAACCAAGATATCATCAACCAAGGACGGATCCACTTTGGAACGATCAATTGAGCCTTTCAAGACATTATAGAGCAGTTCTTCTGGATACAACTTGGATAGGCCACCCTTTTTAGCCTTTGTCACTGGTGTTCTGAGGGCTGAGAGGATCACAATGTCCTTTGGTGATTTCGTTAGCAGTCTTGCTGTTGACATTTTGGCTATCGGATCGAGGTGCTCAGGAACACCATTAACCAGCTAAACCAACCTGGATTCCTCCATTCTTAAATAACATCATCGCCTATTGTCTTGATGAGCCTGACAGACTCGGGAGCTCTACCGGTAGAGCTTTCAACCGCTTCACTGTACCTGATACGCTGGTACCTGGTACCCCAGTTTAGAGCTGGAGGGTTAATTCATTAGCCAGACACAACGGCCAGGCTTCCGACACCAGTCGCGTCTTGAACCGGTTGATACTTTAACAAAGGAGCATAATTGAGTTGATGGATTGATATATATACAGCTATGGATCCAGAATGAGGTGTATCTGATGGATTTCAAGTTGTTGTTGATGTTATTGGAAAATGTTTAAGCTAATTGTCCCTAGAACAACGCTGTTTAGAATAGCTGGAATTCGTTTCTCATCTACTGCTATTCCAAGAATCTCAAAAGTGGTTCAAACTACAGATGAAGCATTAGAAGGAATACAATCAGGTCAGACTTTACTATCTGGTGGATTTGGACTTTCTGGTGTGTCTGACACCTTGATCAATGCATTATTAGAGAAGAAGGAAATCAATAACCTAACAGCCGTGTCAAATAATGCTGGTTTGGATGGGCAAGGTTTATCAAAGTTGTTACAATCTGGTCAAATTACCAAAATGATTGCAAGTTTCATTGGAATGAACAAGACTTTTGAAAAGCTGTATTTAGATGGTAAGATTGATTTGGAATTGACTCCTCAAGGTACCATGGTGGAAAAAGTCAGAGCTGGTGGTGCTGGTATCCCAGCTTTTTACACCCCAACTGGGGTGGGTACCTGGGTTGAGGAAGGTAAATTACCAGTTAGATATGGTGAGAATGGTGAAGTATTGAAAACTACAAAACCTAAAGAAACAAGAGAATTCAATGGACGTAAATTTTTATTGGAAGATAGTATATTCGCTGATGTTGCATTTGTCAAGGCTTTCAAAGCTGATACTTTGGGTAATTGTTGGTTTAGAGGATCATCACAAAATTTCAACACTGCTTTTGGTAAAAATGCTAAATTAACTATTGTGGAAGCTGAGAACATTGTCGAACCGGGAGAAATCAAACCTGAAAATGTTCATTTACAATCAGTCTATGTTGATAGAATTATTAAATCTACTACACCTAAAGAAATTGAAATAGTCAAGTTGGCTGAAGATCAAAAATCACCAGAAGAGTTGTTGAGTTCTGGTAATGAAAAAGAATTGAAAAGGTTCAAGATCTCTCAGCGTGCATCTAAAGAATTCAATGGTTTCAAATCCGCAAACTTGGGTATTGGTATGCCAAATCTATCTGTTGCTTTCCTTCCTGAAGATTCTCAAGTCATGTTACAATCAGAAAATGGTATTTTGGGCATGGGTCCACATCCAAGAAAAGGTGAAGAAGATGCAGATTTAATCAATTCAGGTAAAGAAACAGTCACCTTATTGAAAGGTGCTTCATTATTCGGTTCAGAAGAAAGTTTTGCCATGATTAGGGGTGGTAAAGTTGGATTAACAATGCTTGGAGGGTTACAAGTTTCTGAAAATGGTGATTTGGCTAATTGGGGATTGCCTGGAAGAGTTAAAGGTATGGGTGGTGCAATGGATTTAGTTTCAAATCCTCAAGCTACAAGAGTTGTTGTATTGATGGAACATGTCGATAAAAAAGGCCGTTCAAAGATTTTGAAAAAATGTCAATTCCCATTAACTGGTACTAAATGTGTCAAGAGAATTATTACAGATCTTGCAGTGTTTGATGTTGTGGATAATGATCATTTGAAATTGATTGAAATTGCTGATAATACCACATTAGAGGAAGTCAAGGAAAAGACTGACGCTGATTTTGAAATTGCTGATGATTTAAAGAAGTTTTAGCTAAGAAAGTTAATGAACACATATAAATATTCTATGAAGATGTAGTGATAAACGAATATTGCATGATGAGCCCCAAGTACTGATAAACTTTATTCATGCCAGGGGTGATTTTCTAGGGGTAATATCATCTCAAAGGTCAAACCTGTTTGTTTTGGCTGAATGTGCTACACCACTCAGTAATCAATCTACACATCAAACCATAAAATAAATATTCATTCAATACACACAAAACATCTGATCAATTCTTTCGAATCAATCAATTTAATTGCTATAGCTTCAAGCTATTATCAACAAAAGTAACAGGTTCATGAGCTACAAAGCTATTCCAGCCTCTTTCAGCTTCTTTGAAAGCATCATAACCAAACAAGAACTTTTGGAAAACTGGATCTGCCCATCTATTTGGGTAACCTTTTCTTGGACTCAATTTCAACAAAGCATCCCTTTTAGCTTGTTTCTCACCATCTGGTAAATGGAAAATATCTCTACAATTAGTTGAACCTTGCACAACTTGAGTAGTTCTCCATTTTCTCAAATTTTCATAAGTTTTCAATAATCCATGAATTTGTGATTTATCAGTGATTCTACCAAATAATCCAGTTAATACAGCAGAGTCTTCAACAGCTTGAGCAGCACCTTGTGCCAAATAAGGTAATGTAGCATGGCATGCATCACCCATTAATGCAACGTTACCAGTTTCATGAACCCAAGTTTTCATTTCAATAGAGTTTTGTAATCTCCATTTAGAAGTTTGATGGACCAAAGTTAACAATTTTTTCAATTTTGGATCCCAATCACTAAATAAATCTAAAATTTCACCAGGTTGTGCAGGTTCAACATTGACATCTTGTGGTAAAGTATCTGGTGATAAAACAACAATATTGACAGTTTCACCACTGTTTGAATTCAATAAATAAACAACAACATGTATATTTGGACCCCACCAAAAATTGATCTTTGGTTCTTCCCAAATAAATTTCAAATCTTCATGTTTTCTAACTTCAGATGATCTAACTAATGCTCTCCAAGCAATATCACCAGTATTATGAGGAGGATCTGGTCTACCCAACATTGTTTGTCTAATTTGAGATTTCAATCCATCTGCACCAAGAATAACATCAGCATTGAATTGACGTCCATCACCTGTGATGACACTATTATCATCAAAGTCCACTCTCATAACTCTTGCACCTAATTTGATAACAACACCAACTTCAACAGCTCTATCAACAAGAACTTTATGGAAATCAGCTCTATGAATATGTAAATATGGAGCACCATATTGTTCTAAGCAGTAAGGTCTCAAAACTAAATAACTTAACAAATCACCAGAGTCCCATTTTCTGAAATTGTAAGATTTTGGAACATGAGAAACAGCCAATAAAGGTTCACGAACACCTAAAGCATCCAAGATCTTTGTAGAATTTGGCGGAATTTGAATACCTGCACCAACTTCACCTAATTCTGGAGCTTGCTCTAACATAATAACATGATGTCCAGATAATCTAAGTCCAATTGCTGCAGCTAATCCACCAAGACCAGCACCAACAATAACAAATTTTAAAGGAGTATAAGTTTTAGGTATTGGATTTGACATAATGCTATAATGTATAACGATAAACCAATGGAAGCGATACAGTCTTTTAGAAGAACATTATCCGTTATATATATGGGTAATATATGTCTGGTTCTGTTGATTGACTTACAGGATGCAAAAATTCAATACCCGGTTAATCTTTTACCAATACAACCCTCTTTCAAAACCTCCAACAACCATGAGTACCAACAAACGTATTTAAACAGATAGCTTTGGCACAGATATAATGGTTCAGCATTTAGCCAGTGTGTATTGAGGAAACCCCAGATACAATCTGTGAAGTCATAATGATCATTTGTTGAGTTTGTAACAGATCTGAAAAGTAGATTTGGTTGTTGAATTTACATGAACTCTGTCAGGTATTACATAACCAGAATAACCAATTATGCACAATTCATCAATACTCAACATTTCACATCAACTATAAGAAGAATCAAGAATCCACTAATTGTAACATTATATGTATATTAATAGAACATCGGAATTACCTTATATACACACAGTAGAGGATATTCTGTCAGGTTAAAACCACGAATAAAATAAAACAAGTGATCATTAAATCAACATCAACTAGAAACAATGGCTGTCACAAGAAACTCCAATAGAAGAAACACCTCTTCAACCTCTTCAACCTCTTCAACCTCTTCAACAACTAGAGTAACCAAAACCAGAAAACCAGCCAGAAAAACCAAGGCTAATCCTCGTGTTACAGCAATTGAAAACAATATTTCTGCATCACATGCTGCATCAACATCTGAAAACACACCAAACTCAACCACTTCAGAAGAAAATTTTTCAACAAATGGTGTTCAACAAGCTGCATTATCTGCACAAAATGAAAATTTTTCTAGTTCAACTGAAACGGGCCATGAGACAAATGGGTCAAATCAAAATCGCACTTTTTTCCCACCACCTGGATTACCTCAACCAAATTCAGCACCATTGTTTCCTCCAGGTTTATCAGCACCTTCATCACTTCCACCGGGTTTATCTAATAATACACAACATGGAACCAATAGCACAACTTCAAACACTA